CCCCCCCCCCCCCCCCGGGCCTAACTTAGAGGGCCTTATTAGTAATTAGCAGAATGCATGGGGCTGAGGCTGAGAATACAGTAGAGGCAATTATAGCATGGTATTTGGGGTGTGAAATTTGGGGGAGCGGGGCTTATTTTCACTTAAGAGTATGGCCTTTAGATATTGCTAACACTATAAATTAAAACAATGAGCTCCTAACAGAGAACGAAGATAGCTGATTAAACCAGATACTTTAGGACGAAAAACAAAGGCTAACAATTTTCCGGTTTCTGGTTCATGATGAGAGTTCGATTAATTCTTGCCAAAAAGATTGTCGATAATTATTATTGATGATTATTATCGATGGAATAACCTTGATAAAGAAATTTGTTCCCGCTACGACTTGTGTCTTGTAAGATTTGGCCTGAAACTGACTGAATTTTTCCCCTGCCTTTGCCTCTGCCGCACTCTTCACCTGTTGGGAAACGAACGTTTTAATAAACTGCTAAGTCAATAGTATCAACAAATATACAGTTCCAGGTAACATAGGTAAATATAAAAGGAATGTGTTGCAATTCTGCAACCAAGGTTTCTTTTCACAAGTCAAGACGACCGTACAACAAGTAGTAGAATAGTCCGCCTTCTTTCTCCATTTTTTCTTCAGCGTCACACAGCTCCAATACTAAAGAATATTGAACAAACCTCATCGCAAATCTTTTGCACTTCCTCATCGGCCACTTTAAGTTCACTGGTTCCACCAATCATTGCCATTTTAATTTTGATCTAGATCAGTCTAGCTATAAGAAGAATCGAAGGAGGTGAGGAAAAATACCTTCCTTTAAGGACTGAAATGTTTTAAAATTTCACGTGATGCTTCGAACACTCCCGTGACAAACAGCTGACTGGTGAGGTAGCCAAGCCTAATCTAGGGAGGGTGGTTACCAAGATTACTGGTTTGGTTACCAAGAAACATGGCGGACGGCAAGGGAGGAAAGAAGTTACAGTGGAAAAAATCAGAGAAAAGTCGGAGGTTAAGACGCAAAGAACTGTGGGCAAAGGAAGAAAAAGAAATAAAGGAGTTAGAGGCTCGTTGTAGAGAGGTAAGCTCTCTTTTCTTTACCAGAGGTTCCACGTGGGTCCTCATGTACAGTGTAAGTGTTCATATTTCTGACTCATTCCTTGTTCATCGATTTCAAAAANAATGTACCAGCTATACAGGTTCACTGTTCTATTATATGTGATCGCTATTTTCGCAAACAAGTCGGTTAAAATAGGTCGCTGGAGATTTTGGAGAGGAAATATTGGACAGAGCATGTTACAAGATCTTGGAATTTGTCAAGTGTAAGATCCATTACAATGTAGGTATGTTAAATTGAGCTGTAATAGGCAACCATAACTTTATCGATGTTGCAGGTGCGATGCCCAGATGGCAGATACTGCCCAGACCGTAATAAGTGTTGCCCAACTACCCCCCCAGGTACATGGCCAAGGGTATGGGCTTGTTGTGCGTATGGTCCATATTCTACGTGCTGCAGCGATTATAGAACTTGTTGCCCCCGGCGATGGACTTGCGTAACTTTGAGTCACGAATGCGTGAGACAGACACATTCACATGTATTGCGAGTGCCGGCCATTCTGCCAGTCAGTTAACAGTACAGACAAACGTTGCCGTGATGGTACAGCTGGGATGGACCCAAAGGCTAGCAGTATTCTACCTTCACAACAGGTAGAAATGGCGTTAAAGAGAAGTGGTTTCATCGGCACCTCCGGCGAAGTTTTCTCCCCTGATCAAAAATATCAGTGTCCGGATGGAAAAACCATTTGCGTGCTATTTTCTGGAATATATGGCTGCTGTCCCATTCAAAATGCAAGGTAAATAAAGATAATGGACATCATTCCACCCCCACATTCGTCAGAGAGTATGTAAAATTTTGCCAAGGGAACTCGTATTTCTTGGCTTTGGAAAACTGTGTTTTCATTACTGGTCACTGAATCAATTATTTTCATACTTATTTTCTGAAAAAAACTTAAATACTCAAATTGATAGTTGTATCAATGCATGTATTACTTCAATTTGCTGTTTGTTTTGTTTTTGTTCAGTTTTTTCCTATTAGCTAGCTTAGTCATTTACTGATGTCTTTCTCTCAAAGATATGTTTAGCATATCTGTTCATTCATTTTTTTTTTCTGCTGTCCAATGTTTTACTGTTAAATATATCGAGGCAAAGAGGAAGTAACTTTTGAGAACAAATTACTTT